CTTTCATAGAAAAGGTAGGAACAGGAGAAGGCCATTCAGCCCTTCAAGCCTGCTCCACTTTTTAACTTAATCATGGCTGATCATCCAACTCAGGGCCTTGTTCCTGCTTTCTCCCTACACCCTTTTGATCCCTTTATCCCCAAGAACTATATCTATCTCATTGTTAAAAACATTCAATGTTTTGGCCTCAACCACTTTCTGTGGCTGAGAATTCCTGACTCACCAGTTTCTGGGCGAAGACATTTTTCCTCATCTCAGTCCTAACTGGCTGACCCTATATCTTTACACTGTGGAGTATTTGCAGAAACACGTGGGTCTGGAGCAAAATAATGAACTCTCAGGCAAAGAGAGAGCCACACCACTTGACGGGTGTTGGAATGACTAATGAGCTCAGTCTATGATTTGCAGTCTCTGCCGTGTAAGGAGGTGAGGGGGGCTGTCATTTGAAGGCTCATGTGGATGGGTTGTTTGCAGGTTTGAGCACTCTATGACTTTGCGTCTTCATCTATGTACGCCCCTGACAACGACGTCTCTCTGTACGTTCAATACCATCTTGGGCGAGCCTCCTTCATTTTGGTCAGTCTCCCGTGAGTCAGTGGGGGCCATTCAATCTGTTCAGGGATGCTTTGGGAACATCCCTGAATCTTTGCGCCATCCTCCATGGAGTCTCTCAGCAAGGCGGTGTTCCGTGTGGAGCGGTTCCTCTGACAGTCTGTGATGTCAGGTAGAATGGCAAATCCCACCCAGCAGACAGCTTAATGTCTTGATGCTGGGCGGAGGACGCTGCTGGAGGATCATCTTTCATTCCACTGGGTTTGGAGGATCTTGCGAAGGCATTGTTGCTGGGACTTCTTCAGTGTGAATTGTCCAATTGCAAAACATGTAGGAACATGGGGATCACTGTCGAACGGTCACCCATGACCTACCAGCTTCAAAGCAAGTATAAATCATGTGTTTCTCTGAAATGGTAATGAGAAGAATACTGGAAGTAGGCAGCCTGAGACTCAAAGGGAAACATGGAGTTTGGATTTTTCGGTTGATTTTTTTTTTCAGAAGGGCAAGGGATTTTGAAATTTGTGATTTCAGGTTTTCCCTTCATCTTGGTTTGTTTTGTATCTGGTTCTTCAGTCTTTCAATCCATCTTTTAGAAAACTTCACCTGAGACTCAGGAGACTGATTTCTCTTTGAGCTATTCACAGCCTCACAATGTATTTCTGGCAGCTCTGAGTTCGGTTTCAAGTCTTTAGCACTCGACACTTTCTTCTTGCCCGTTTGACGAAGAGTTTATTCATTTGCTCCGTAACTAAGTGTTACTGTAAATACTAGATCTGCCCACTAGATGGGGAAACTCTCCTGTAAGTACCAACTTGCTGTGTGGGATTAACTCTATCACACTCTTGACACACTTCGTTCAGCACAGTTTCTACCTGAACTTCTCTATTGTATCAGCTCATCCATCACAAGGCACCTTTGACAGTGCAGCACTCCCTCAGTACTGCACTGGAGTGTCAGCATTGATGCCTGTTCTCATGTGCTGAAGTGGGACTTGAGCCCAGAACCTTACAACTGTAGGCATGAGTGTGACCCACATTTGTGCGCCTCCTTCGGTAGATCCTTGGGATCAAGAGCAACTTGCTTTCATAGAAAAGGTAGGAACAGGAGAAGGCCATTCAGCCCTTCAAAGCCTGCTCCACTTTTTAACTTAATCATGGCTGATCATCCAACTCAGGGCCTGAGTTCTTGTGTTGTCTATGAGAGACAACACATACACTCTCCAAATCATTCCATCCTCTCCCCTTTTTTTAAATTCCCTCACAGGATGCGGGCATGTCTGGCTAGGCCAGCATTTATTGTCCATTCTCTAGCAATTAAGAGTCAGCCACATTGCTGTGGGTCTGGTGTCATATGCAGATGAGAGTGGCAGTTTCCTTCCCTAAAGGACATTACTGAACTGACAATTGACAATGGTTACATGGTCATCATTAGACTATTAACTAGACTTCAGATTTTCATTGAAATCAAATTCCACCATCTGCCGTGGTGGGATTTGAACCTGGGCCCCCAAAACATTATCCAGATTAGCAGTCCAGCAATATTTCCACTAAGCTGTCACCTCCCTGTGATCAATTATTGATTGTAGCTGTGGGAGTCACTATCTGTTCTGAGTTAGAAACTTGTAAAACGATGCAGCACAGAGAGAAGCCATTCAGCCCATGGTGCTTGTGCTAGCTGTTCGGGAAGTGCTACCAATAGATCCCAATCCCCTGTTCCTTCCCCATAGTGCTGTGTTTTCTTTTTCCTTTTTACCCAATTCTAAGTTATTGGCTCTGTTTCCATCCTTTCAGGCAGCAAATTCCATATTATAACAAATCATAGTGGAAAGAAAAAGATTTCCTCACGGTAGTATAATGAGATTCATGTAGATAATGATCCTGTAGCTGATGACCTGATTCTGACATCAGTAAGAGAGAAGACAGCACTCTAGAATGAGCATGTGAAGAGACAGGTTTTGGACACCACACTAGAGAGCTGTATTTGATAACCAGTATTGTACAGATGTAAATAAAGGTGTGTTACAGTATATAGTGTAATTGAAGAGCTTTAATTAGAGATAAGGAGCAAGCAGCCTCCATGATAGGGGATTTCAAGACTAGGGGGGACATTTTTAAGGTGAGAGGAGTGAGATTTAAAAAAGGCACAAGGGGCAAATTTTTTACACAGAGGGTCATTCACATGTGGACTGAACTTCCTGAGGAAATCATGGATATGGGTACAATTACAATGTTTAAAAGCTTTTTGAATAGTATATGAATAGGAAGGGTTTGGAGGGATATGGGCCAGGAGAAGGTAGGTGGGAGTCATTTAGTTTGGGATTATGTTCAGCATGGACTAGTTGGACCGAAGGGTCTCCTTCCATGCTGTAAGAGTCTATGACTATGACCACAGAATCTCAATAGTGGTATTGGCTTAAAGCTCAAGACAGACCACTGATATTACCTGTGACCCTTATGCCAATTCTGTAAAATGCATGTTCTCTGACTAACAACCCTTCCGTTTCTCTTTATTTGCTCTATGCAAATCATTAATGAAATGGAACACCTTTTATCAAATAATTTCCCCTTTAACCTTCAGTGTTCAAAGGAGAATAGCCTAACTTCATGTGGGCTCAGGTTTTACCCCAATGATCTGAACACACTGATGTAGGTGATATTATGTTGCGATGCTGTGTGAGTGCCACACTGTCTGCGGTGTTATCTTTCAGATTGGCAATTAACCTCTGTGTCCAGTTCCCTGACACTATTTTGAAGTAGTGCAGGTAAGAGCTCCACCCCCACCCTTGTTTCTGGGATAATCTATCCCTCGAACAGCATCGCAAACAGAGCATCTGCTTATTATCTTATTGATGTCTGTTGGACTTTGCTGTATGCAAATTGGGTTGTCATGTCTCTTATCTTACAGCAGTGACTGCAGTTAAGATCCCAGCAATACCGGACAAGTCAGATCATCGTGAAACCATAAGTTTTATTGTTGCTGTTTGTTGCTCAGTTGTTGCTCACTCACTGAGCATATTCACAAGAGGCTGCCAGTGTACTTAAAAAAAAAAAGATGTTTGTTGTGCAAAAGCAAAAGCACAAACCTTGTCATATCATACACAACCTATGTGAAGTGATCTTATTACAGCTATCAGAATGAAAGTTTCAACCCTTTTACCCTAACAACAATCTCAGAGATACTCAGACCTAAGTGACATGTTACCCTTTCTCCACGCCAGTGTCATGCACAGTTGGCATGGCTGTAGTTATCTTCTGGAGCTTTTTAGTTCTTGACTTCTAAACTACTATCTTCAGAACAGGCTCATTGGTTTTCCATATTCTCTATCTCCAGCAGTTTTCTGACCAGTTTTCTCAATAACCCAGGACTTCAGCTTCCACTCTCAAGGACTCTCAGACACAGACTAATTCACTGACTTTCTGAATGTACCTTTGTCCTTGGATATATTGCAGCTAGAGAAGCAATATATCAGTTTTCTCTTTTTTTTCAGTACATTGAACCTTTAACTTCCAGCTCTCCTCCACAGCTGTAAACCCTTGTTAAAGAAGAATGCATAAACCAATCCAGGGCTTCCTGGCATCAAAAGTCTCAAATTTAAAAATAAAACTAAAACTATGTCTTCCCCTCTCTTAACGCACACAATGTAGAGTACAAATCGAACTTAATTCTTCCACATCAGAATTCAAGCTTTCAAGCACTAATAATCTATTACAAACCTTCTTCACATTAGACTTCAAAAATGCTTAATTGGTTGTAAAGTGCTTTGGGGCATCTGAAGGTTGTGAAAGGCGCTACTGAAATGCAAGTATTTTTTCTAATGAGTCTTGTTCTGTGAATTCCACCCACAGAATCAATATGAAGGTCACATTCAGCTGGTGAAGAATGGTGCAAAGCTCAGCAGTCTCCCACACATACAGTTGCCAACAATACCACCTGCTCCTGCAGAGGTATACTAACAGTATTCTCTAACCCTGTTTTTTCCAGGAACTGTCCTGAAGTCGAATCATTAGATTCAAACATTAACTGTTTCTCTCTCCACAGATCTGCAGAATTTCTCCAACACTTTCTGTTTCATTTCAGATCTCCGGCATCCGAAGTATTTTGCTTTTATTTGGGTACTGTTGTATAATTGTTTAACACACTTAACACCCAATTGTGTTGAGGTTGATTGGCTCGCTGAGCTGGTTTGTTGTTCCGCAGACGTTTCGTTACCGCGCTGGGTAACATCCTCAATGCAGCCTCTGATGAAGCGTCGGTGTGTTTTCCCACCTGGTTCTTAAACTCTGGAGTCTGTTACGATGGATTGCCTCACTTCCGGGTTTCCTCCGAAGTGGAATGTATATGGGGTCGAGTTCAATGTGGTTATTAATAGCCTGCTTAGTGGAGTGCCATGCTTCTAGGAATTCTCGTGCTTGTCTCTGCCTAGCCTGTCCCAGGATCTTGGTGTTGTCCCAGTTGAAGTGGTGGTTCTCCTTGTCCATGTGGATTGAGATGAGTGAGTACTGCGAGAAACACTACATCGGACAAACAGGAAGGAAACTAACAACAAGAGTACATGAACACCAACTGGCTACAAAAAGACACGACCAATACTCACTCATCTCAATAACAGGATGATCACATTGTACGCAGTACTCCAAATGTGGCCTTATCAATGTCTTGCACAGCTGTAACATGATGCTCTAACTCCTGTACCCAATGCTATGACTGATGAAGGCAAGTGTGCTAAACGCCTTTTTCACCACCCAGTCTACCTGGAACACTACTTTCAAAGAACGATGTACCTGCACCCTTACATCTCTCTGTTTGTCAACACTCTCCAGGACCCACCGTTAACTGAGTGAATCCTGTCCTGGTTTGTCTTACCAAAATGCAACATCTCACATCTAATTAATTAAACTCCCTTTGCCATTCCTCAGTTCATTGGCCAAGATTTTGTTGAAATCTTAGATAATCTTCTTCACTGTCCACTATGCCACCAATTTTGGTGTCATCTGAAAACGTACTAACCATGCCTCTTGTATCCTCATCCAAATCGTTCATATAAATGACGAGCAACAGTGAACCCAGCAGCAAGTTTAGTGCCACACCACTGGTCACGGGCCTCCAGTCTGAACAGCAGCCCACGACCAGAGAGTCAAACCTATTCTGCTTGATATTAGTGGAAGAGTGGACCCCGCTTCACATTATTCTTAATTAGTTGTCTCAGGCAATTTTTGTCACTTGGGAGGGGGAAGAAAACACACCAGCTTCAAATTTCATCAGAGACTCTGATGTTTTGCTGCTTTGAACTCCAAAACTTAGTACATTCGTATGAAATTCCCTTGGCTTCTTTTTTATTTCATGATGCCATTTAAAAGCCTAACCTCGGGTGTAACATTTACAATCGGGCTAAAGAAGTTTGACCCTATCCATAACCCCATCACTCTGCAATAATATTATTCTATTTGCTGTGACTGACCTGCTTCAGTAGGTGATGTGTTAACAATCAGAAAGCTGTATGTAGTCCTTTTGAGTTACTGACTAGGTTGTGCCTTGAAGCCAAACAATATCTTTATTATTTGATTTCTATTTTCTCTTTTTTTTAACCGGTAGCCTGAATTAGTGCTCCAGAGAATGCAGCAGAATCCTCGAGTTCCCTTCACTAACTTGCCTTCCACAGCACCTTTTTACCCAGCTCCTGGATCTCTGATGAACCTTCCAGCTACACAGTTTACCCCGAGTCACATGGCACAGTCAGAGGTTGGCAGTCACAACACTCAACCAGCTTCCAACCCGGCTACAAAACTGGAAAAACTCCTGGAAAAGCTGGAAGCCAAATTTCCAAACTGTAGCAGGTATGCTGCTCGTGAACACATGCGAATAAACGTTCTCTGCCTTGTTTGGCACCTTAATTAAATCCCACAGGAAGTCTGTGGAGCCTCACAGTGCAATTTTTCCCCATAAGTGCTCCATGTTGTGTCGGATGTACATGGCATATTTTTATTATTTAGGAATCATGCAGGGAAAGTTGATTTCGGTTTTCAGTTCTGTGAAGGTCTGATTTTTCCTTAAAAGAAGGTCAGGGTGTCATTTTGTATAGTGTGTTGAAATCGGCATTTCTAAGATGACATGTGACTTTAGCTAGATGAACAGCAAGCTGCTGGGGGAGATAATTGTTAGGGTGTTTACTGACTGAAGTTTTACAAACTGGAGAGGGGATTGGGGAGAGTGCAGAAGCAGATCTTCAGTGAGAAGAGGTCCACATTAGCAAAGGTCTAGGAACCTAGAGGAAGTCAATGGTCTAGTGGTATTATCTCTGGACTGTTAATCCAGAGACTCGGATAATGTTCTGGGAACCTGGGTTCGAATCCCACTGTGGCAGATGGTGGAATTTGAATTCAGTTTTAAAAATCTAGAATTAAGAGTCTAATGATGACCGTGAATCCATTGTTGATTGTTGGAAAAACCCAACTCATTCATTAATGCCATTTAGGGAAGGAAGCTGCCATCCTTACCTGGTCTGGCCTACATGTGACTCCAGACCCACAGCAATGCGGTTGACTCTTAACTGCCTTCTGGGCAATTAGGGTTGGGCAGTAAATTCTACCTGGCCAGCGAAACCCTCATCCCGTGAATGAATGAATTAAAAAACACCTCCAAGTAGTCAGGGCTGGGGAGAGGTCCTGAGTTGCTTAAAAGTAACCAGAAACAGCAGCTGTGAAGGTATCAGAAGAAGGCATCTTACAAGGCTTTTGAAAATATGTGTCTAAGGGCTCCATGTTAGATAATAAGTGAGCTGAGTTAGCATTTTGTTTAAAGATCTTTGGAAGAGACATTAACTAAGATAAAATAACATTGAGGGAATGTAGAAATTTGACTAAAAGAAACCTATTATACAGCCATGTTAGCTCAGTACGAAAGTTTAGCTTGGAGTGAGAGCTGACTCTTCATTGAGGTGTCTATGTTTTATTGTTGGGTTAAAAGGAATTAATCTTATTTGCCAAATTTGTAATGCGATCATTCCAAATTGTTTTTGTATAGTGTAACAGAGTTTGTGTTTTTCTTTTCTGTAATAACCTTTTATGTTTCTTTGGTAAAAGTGCACTTGGTATGAGCTTGCCCCCAGCAGAGTGTTTCACCCGATGCAGCAATGTGTATGTTACCTTCAGTAATATAAGAAACTGCGCATGGAAATTATGGATTTTAAGAATGCAACAAGCATTTATTGTAACAAACTATCAAGTGCAAACATTGTATTTCTCAGGCACATAAGTGACTGGGTTAATATTAAGCTATTACTTTACTACACAGAAGCATGCTTCCAGTAGAGATTAATGCATCGAGTGATTAGAGGCAAGATGGAGCATGAGATTTTATCCTCAGGCCACATGCTATGATGCAACGATGATATCATGAACATGTCTCAAGTCCTTATAAGCCATGGTCTTTTTCTGCCAGGGTGGGGGAAGTCCAAACCTAGAGGGCAAAGGTTTAAGGTGAGAGGGTAAAGATTTAAAAGGGAACTAAGGGGTAACTTTTCCACACAGAGGGTGGTGTGTGTATGGAACGAGCTGCCAGAGGAGATGGTGGAAGCAGGTACAACTACAACATTTAAAACGCAACTGAATGGGTACATGAATAGGAAGGGTTTATAGGGATATGGGCCAAATATGAGATCAGTTTAGGATAGCTGGTTGGCATGGACGAGTTGGACCTAAGGTTCTATTTCCGTGCTGTATGACTATATGACTCTTATGATCATGTGATGTAGGACACAAGTAGTCTCTTCTGAATATGTTCCGTAACGAAACCCCTGACCTATTAAGCTAGGTTCCATTCTAGAATCATAGAATCTCTGCCGTGTGGAGTCCACACCAACCCTCCAAAGAACATCTCACCCAGACCCAGCCCCCTACCCTATCTCTGTAACCCAGTATTTTCCCTTGGCTAATCCGTCCAGCCTGCAAATCCCCTGGACACTGTAGGCAATTTCCCACAGCCAATCCACCCAAACTGCGCATCTTTGGACTGTGGGAGAAAACCAAGCACCCAGCAGTCGTGGGGAAAATGTGCAACCTCCACGCAGACAGTCGTCAGAGAATGGATCTTACTTTTCCAATGTTCTGATCCCAGCTGACAGTAATAATGTCCAAAGTAAAATATTGAGGGAGTTGAATAATTACATGGAGAGGAAAATAACTATATACTTATGGGGATAGAGCAAGGGGTTGTTCAAAATATTGGCCGGGACCAAATGGCCTCCTTCTATATTGTATCATTCCATGAATAAAAAGTGCCTTGTTATTTATCTTCTTCCTGCCAGAGTTCAACTTACCCACATTCTGCAGCAGATTAAGAACTCACGTGGAACTATTGCTGGCCTTTCTGTGGATGAACTAACACACCAAATGGCTGCCCAACTGACTGAAATAAAGCAGGTACCCTTTATGACAGGTGTCAAACATTGAGAGTGAACATGCACAATTGGTAGGAGTTCTTGTGGTGCAGTGGTAGTGTCCCTACCCCTGAGCCAGTGGATCTAGGTTCAAGTCCTACCTGGTCCAGATATGTGTGACACCATCTCTGAACAAGTTGATTAGAACATAAATACAGATGGTCAGTATCTGAGTGAGAAAGTTAATATTTTCCTTCTGTTCCACTGACGAGTAAAAACATTTTGTTTCATTTTTTAAACTTGTTTTTTAAGGATAAATTTTCTGGATTAGTAATGCCATAGGTGTAGAGTTTTGAATCTGCTCTTTATGGAAATTAGGAAGCTCCGTCTTAGTGGTGGAAGTGAAAACTTGCTATTAACTATGCCTCTCCACGGGGAGGTGATGGCCTAGTGATATTATTGCTGGACTGTTAATCCAGAGACCCAGATAATGTTCTGTGGACCCAGGTTCAAATCCTGCCAAGGCAGATGGTGGAATTTGAATTCAATAAATATCTGGACTTAAGAGTCTAATGATGACCATGAATCCATTGTCAATTGTTGGAAAAACCCATCTGGTTCACTAATGTCCTTTAGGGAAGGAAACTGCCATCCTTACCTGGTCTGGCCTGCATGTGACTCCAGACCCACAGCAATGTGGCTGGCTCTTAACTGCCGCTGGGATGGGCAATAAATGCTGCCTAGCCAGCAATGCCCTCATCCTGTGAATGAATAATAAAAGAAATAGTATGGTGATGCAGCATAAAGGATACCTTAACAACAATGGGTAATAAATACCCAGTGTGGTATCCACAAACAAATATTCAAATAAAACTCAACAGTTTTATCGTCCAGATATATTGAAAATGTACAAAAGAGAACATAAACATGTTAAAGCAATATTAATTAATTTAATCTTGCACTTGTTAATACAGAGCTTGAGTATTGCTCAACAAAGGTGTCATGCTACTGAAGCTTTTAGCATGTGCTTGATCGGGACAGGTGCGAGAATACCAAATTTCATAGCTTATACTCCATGAGTAAAAGGGTGCTGATTGGTCGGTAAGTGGACTCTGATTGGTCAAGACACGACTTTGGAGACTACACCAGGAAATAGTTATCCTCCCTAACATTTCTTCAAATTTGAAAAAGGCAAGGCAACTTGGACTGGTAAAGGTGTTGAGCATGGGCTACGCATGATTAGAATCATACAGTACGGAAAAGGTCCTTCAATCTGTACCACCCAAAATATGCTGTTGCTTACCCTAGTCTGCTTCTCTGCATGAGGCCCATAGCCTTGAATTTTTTCTATTCATTCATGGGATGAGGGTGTGTCTGACTGCATATCCCTAATTGCCCAGAGGGCAGTTAAGCGTCAACCACATTGCTGTGCGTCTGGAGTCACATGTAGGCCATACCAGGTAAGGATGGCAGATTTCCTTCCCTAAACAACATTGGTGAACCAGATGGAATTTTCCTAACAATTGATTGTCTCACAGGCAATTCTAGCAGCAGGAAGAGAACCCCAGCTTTTAGCTGTAACAGAGAGCGGAATAAGAGCTTCCACATCCAGCTTCAAGACCCTAGAAACTACTGAAAGCTTAAGCTGAAAATCCCAGTTGTATGGGAGCTTGACCCCACCCATTCAGGCTACTTCAGTTGTTCCAACTTTAAAAAAAAATTCCCAAGCTTCACAATCTGTTTACTTTATTGGCTTTGAGCAGACCGTTTGTCACCTCTGTCTCAACCTCTCTTCATTTAAAAAAAAGACAAAACACACCTCCTAAAGCCATAGTATTGCCAGTGACCATAGTTCTGTTAATTTTAAAATAGTTATGGAAAGGGACAAAACTGGTCCTCAGGTTCAAATTCTAAGCTGGGGCAAGGTGAATTTTGATAGAATTAGAAAGGAGCTTGCAGGTGTTGATTGGAGCAGTTTGATTGCAGGCAAATGGATCTCTGGCAATTGGGAGGCCTTTAAAAGTGTGATAGCTAGAGTTCAAGATCTTTATGTTCCTGTGAGGGTGAAGGTCAAGGTTGGCAGGAGTAGGAAACCCTGAATGACAAGAGATATTGAGGCTTTGACCAGAAAAAAGCAGGAGGCATATCTCCGGTACAGGCAGTTGGGATCAAGGCAATCCCTGGAGGTATTTTGGGGATACAGGGGTTTACTGAATAAGGAAATGAGAAGGGTGAAAAGGAGATTTTTTTCATTATTCATTCGCAGGATGAGGGCATCACTGGCTAGGCAGCATTTATTGCCCATCTGGCAGTTAAGAGTCAACCACATTGCTGTGGGTCTGGAGTCACATGTAGGACAGACCAGTTTCCTTCCCTAAAGGACATTAGTGAACAAGATGGGTATTTTCCCTGGCAGTGGATTTATGGTCATCATTAGACCCTTAATTCCAGATATTTATTGAATTCAAATTCCACCATCTGCCATGGTGGGATTTGAACCCGGGTCCCCAGATCATTATCTGGATTTCTGGATTAACAGTCCAATGATAATACCACTAGGCCAGCACCTCCCTTACTTTGGCTGAGAAGATTAGGGTGAAGCCAAAGACATTCTTTAAGTATATTAAAGGAAAAAGAATAACTAGACAGAGAATAGGACCTCTCAAGGACCAAAGTGGACATATATGTGGAACCGCAGGAGATGGGCGAGGTCGTCAATGAATATTTCTTCTCTGTGTTTACCATGGAGAAAGACAGGAAGTCTTGGGAACTTGGGGAAGTTAGTGGCAATATCTTGGGGAAAGTCCATATCACGGTAGAGGAGGTGTTGAATGGATTAGAATGTGTGAAGGTGGATAAATCTCCTGGTCCCGACCAGAAAGATCCATGAACCCTGGCAGAGGCTAGAAAAGGAACAGCGGGAGCCCTGGTTGATGTACTTGCATCATCGTTAGCCACGACTGAGGTCCCAGAAGACTGGAAGGTAGCAAACGTTGTGCCCGTATTCAAGAAGAGCTGCGAAGAAAAACCTAGGAATTAAAGACCAGTAAGCTTAATATCTGTAGTAGGTAAGTTGCTTGAGAAGATTCTGAGGGATAAGAGATACATGCATTTAGAAAGTCAGGGTTTGATTAGGAGTGGTCAGCATGGCTTCATGCATGGGAGATCATACCTCACAAATTTGTTAGAGTTCTTTGATGAAATGACCAGGAAGGTTGATGAGGGAAGGGCGGTAGACGTGGTATGTATGGATTTCAGTATGACGTTTGGTAAGGTTCCACTTGGTCGGCTGCTCTGGGAGGTTAGATTGCATGGAATCCAGGGAGAGCTGGCAAATTGGATACACAATTGGCTTGATGATAGGAAGCAGAGGGTAATAGTGGAAGGATGCTGTAAGACTGGAGGCCTGTGAATAGTGCTGTGCCTTAGGGGTTGGTGCTGGGCCCATTGCTGTTTGTTATTTATATCAAAGATTTGGATGAGAATGTACAAGACCTGATTAGTAAGTTTGTGGATGACACTAAAATAGGCGGTATCGTGGACAGTGAGGAAGGTTGTCAGAAATTGCAGCAGGATCTTGATCCGTTAGGGAAGTGGTCTGAGAAACGGTAAATAGGTAAATGTGAGGTATTACATTTTGTAAAGTAAAATCAAGGTAGGAGCCTTAGGGAGTGTAGTGGAACAGAAGGACCTTGGAGTTCAGGTGCTTGGTTCTCTGAAAGTGGAGTCACAGGTAGACAGGGCAGTGAAGAAAACTTTTGGCACCCTGGCCTTCATCAGTCAGAGCATTGAGTAAAGAAGTTGGGAAGTTATGTTGCAGTTGTACAGGACGTTGGTGAGGCCGCACTTGGGAGTATTGTGTTCAGTTTTCGTCACCTTGCTATAAGAAGGATGTTGTTAAACTGGAAAGACTGCAGAAGAAGTTTGCAAGGATGTTGCCAGGACTCAAGGGATTGAGTTTATAGGAAGAGATTGGACAAGCCAGGATTTTTTTCTTTAGAGCGTAGGAGACTGAGAGGGGATCTTACAGAAATGTATATGATCATGAGATGCATGGATAGGGTAAATGCACTCAGTCTTTTTCCCAGGGAAATCAAGGCCTAGAGGGTATCAGTTTCAGGTAAGAGGGGAAAGAATACATAAGAACCTGAAGGGCAACCTTTTTACACAAAGGTTGGATGCATATGGAATAAGCTGCCAGTGGAAGTGGTTGAGGCGGGTACATTAACAACATTTAAAAGGTATTTGGACAAATACATGGATAGGAAAGGTTTAGAAAGATATGGGCCAAGCACAGGGCAATGAGGTTAGCGTGGATAGACATTTTGGTCGGCATGGACTGGTTTGGGCCGAAGGGCCTGTCTTGTACTGTAGGAGTCTATGACGATTGTTATTGTATTGTTCAGTAACTGCTGTCTAATGTCAATTTAAAATATGTATTTTCTGAATCTCTTTGGACAGGCTGAGCCAGTGCATCTACTGCGAATCCCTACCACTTTGTCTGGACACTTCCCACCAGCAGCTTCACAGACCAGCCCTTACCTGACACAGCTGAAAAGTAGAACTGGAGCTCAGGCCTCATACCAAGAGAGTCCAGTGCTGGTTCGTAACTTCCCTCACCTTCTACGGGGGAATTTTACTTTTGCCCTTCTTTTGCATTTTTTACAAATGCTCTCTAGTTCAAGAGACATTAGGCTAGATTTCCGCAGAGACAGGAACACTGCACAGACCTTTTGAAAAATAACATGCGGGACCAAGCTGTGGATATCTTGCTCCCTATTTCTTATTGTGTGCTGCTCTGGAATCCACATTATAGGAGGCATGTGATAGCACCGGAGAAGGGTGGAAGAAGTGGCTTACCAGGATATTGCCTGGGCTGGAGAATGTTGGTAATGAAGAGAGTTTGGATAGACTGGGGAGGTTTTCTTTGGAGCCAAGGAGACTAAAAGGGAACACGATTGAGATGTATAAAATTACGATGAGTGTAGGTAGGAAGGAATACATCCGCTGCTGCCTCACAACACCAGGGACCCGGTTTCAATTCCAGCCTGGAGCTAATATCTGTGTCAAGTTTGCACATTCTCTTCGTGTCTCCATGGGTTTCCTCTGGGTGCTCCGGTTTCCTCCCACAGTCCAAAGATGTGCAGGTTAGGGTGGATTAGCCGTGCTAAATTACCTGTAGTGTCCAGGGATTTGCAGGTTAGGGTGGGCTAGCCTTGGGAAATGCAGGGTTACAGGGATAGGTTAGTGGGGTTGGTCTGGATGGGATGCGCTTCAGAGGGTCAGTGTGGGCTTGATGGGCAGAATGGACCATTTCCACACTGTAGGGATTCTGATTATGTCGTATCGTTTATTTTGTACTTGTTTGGATGAACTCAATAAATTCTGTAAGAGTTGCAACGGTAAACTGGAATAGGTCTTGTAACCATCTGAGAATAAGATGTTTACATCTGTTCTCTTAAATCAATCTATCATTTGTAATTGACTGTAGCTCCTACGATTGAAATTAGAGTGAACTCCACAATCTGTTGGCATTTGTTGATCATCCTCAAATATTCTTGGACTGAGAGGCTTTTCTGGCCATTTCAGAGGGCAGTTGAGAGTCAACCACATTGCTGTGGGTCTGGAGTCACATGTAGGTCCGTGTTGATGAGGATGGCTGATTTCCTTCCCTGAAGGATATTAGTGAACCAGATTGGTTTTTACAATAATCAGAGGTAGCTAACATGGACACCATTGCGGATTTATTAACTGAATTCAAATTCCACAAGCTGCTGTGATGGTATTTGAATCCATGTCCCCAAAGCATTAGCCTCAGTTACTATACAGTGACATTACCACTGCATCACCATCTCCCCATATTGCAAAGATAAAGGAGCAATTTGATCGAAGTTTTCAGGACCTAGAGAGGAATAAGAAAAGTTCTGCTGGTGTTGATGAGAGGGTGTAGTCTAAAAATTAGAATCTGACCTTTCAAGACTGAAATTGGAAAGTACTTCGACACATCTCTGGTAGAAATTGTAACTCTGTTCTGCAAATGGCAATTGATGCCAGTCAGCAGATAATATTAAATCTGCGATTGGCTAACAGAAACCAGTATTAATGGTTATGTGGCTAAAATGGGTATATGCAGTTAGTTTAAGATCAACCAATGATTTAATTGAATGGTGTTAACATGTTTGAGATAAGTTTCCTTCTACTCACATGAACCGGAGCTTGAAGCTTTCACCCATAAATTTTATGACATAACATCACTGAATTTGGTCAGTTTCAAAATAAATTCTAAGCCACAGTGTAGAAACCCAACGTCAGCACTAACTGGTTTCCCTTTTAAACATTAGGTCTCAGGCAGTCCCCGGCTTTGTTTGATGTGTCAGAAAGTTGTGCTTATTGACGAAGTCCAGCCAATGGTCTGTTCACATATTGTCCACCGAGAGGTGAGTGTCTCACATTTTACCATTAATCAGTAGACCCTATGTGTGTGCACACGTTCTTGTGTGAATAACATTTTTTTGCTATAGGCTGTAGGAATTTGATGTTTTTAGGGTGTGGAATGGGCACTGATGGGCAGAATTGCTCACATGCACTTGCTTGGTTGCAAAATGAGTTAGCAGTTGCAAACGTAAATCATTTGAAGTTTCACTTACTTCTGTTCCCATTCCTACATGTCTAAATTAGTTGACTGCATGCAAGAGCTTTGTTATTAGGAATGGACATATTTACTTGGACATTCCCTTTGGAGAATTGTGAGGAGATCCCTATCAATAACTCCCCGATAGCACGGTGGATAAGCTGTCACATGATGTAGCTTTGCGATCCACAGTCCCTAATTTCCAGGTTAAAAATCTCTGATATGTGCAGTTCATTGATGGCAGCTGGGAAAATAATGGAAGGTTTCTAAAAAAACGACACACTTCCTTCTCTGTATTACAACATTATCCCAAGTGGCTTCAAGTAAAACTTGGATGTTTCCCATGCTATCTAGTGAACCATAGAGCATCCATTCCCATCCTCAACTCTCAATTCTCTGGCTCCTCTGTTAATAATAGTCCACATTTTAAAGTTTATTTATGGGATTTGGGCAATGCTAATTCGACCAACATTTAATGCCCATCCCTATTTACCCAATGGGTAGCTGAGAGTCAAACACATTGCTGTGGATCTGGAGTCACAGGTAAGGATTTCATATTTCCTTCCTTGAAGGACATTAGTAAACCAGATGGATTTTAATGACAATTGACAATGGTTAGATGGTCACCATTAGATTAGGTTTTTATTCCAGATTTGCTTTATTTGTTTATGTCTGACTGGAGCTGGTTTGCATGCAGCTCTGGAGTTTCGGATTGTGTAAGTGATAGGGAAAGTGCTTGCCCCTACTCTCCCTTTGTGTTGCCCCTTAATCCGATCTCTCCCTGTGGTTAGGCAGCTGAAAGCAGTAACCTGAAACAAACTGGAGAAACTCAGCAGATCTGGTAGCATCTATGGAAAGAAAAGCAGATTTAATGTTTCGAGTCCGGTTTTACTCTTCTTCAGAACTGGAGTTGTCATTGTCTTGTCACTTTGTCACTCGTTGAAGTCAGATAAGATCAAACTGCTGTTCAGATTTTTGGGAATGAAAGTCCTTATGAAATGAAGAGAAACCCCCCTTTCTTTTTAACCAATAAACTGAATCAGTTCAGGCACATTCTAACTTGGCAGATTATAATGCATCTGTAATGATTGGAAGCAGGTAGATCTTATTGATAATGAGATCCTTGATTGTAGTTGTTAACCTGGGCCAATCAGGGAGCCCTGGCTGACAGATATAAACAGGAGATTCAGACAGTCTCCTGACTTCAGGGAGTGGATCTGAGCTGGCTGATCAGAGCTCATGTACTGTGCACATGTAAATAAAGGGTGACTCAGCGATGGGATACTGGCCTCTGTGCAGTTATTTCAGAATCCTTTTCTGGAAGGTCATGTGGATGTTTCCTGCAGTTTCTATTTTAATTTTTAAAGAAAATCAAACATCCAACAAGGAAAGATTATTTGATTCCTCATTTCCTTTCTTCTACTATGGGATGTGGGGGTCACTGGCAAGGCCACGTTTGTGCCCCATCTGAATTGGCCTTGAACTGAATAACTTCCTCAGTTAGAGAGCATTGCCATACCAGACTGGGTGAGGATGGCAGATTTCCTTTCCTAAAGGGCATTCGTGAAAGAGAATTCTTTTTTTATGACAAAATGTGATGATGAATTTAAATTCAACCAACTGTCACATCGGGACTTGAGCCCACATCCCTAGTGTATTAACTGGCTTCTGGATTACTAGTGCAGTGATATTACCACACACTATCTTCCTCCCACTTTCATCCAAAGGTAATTAAGCTGTTTAATGCAGTGCTGAAGAAGAGACATACCAAATTCAAAGCATAAACACTGTTTCTCTCTCCGCAGATGCTGCCAGAGCTGTTGAGTTCCTCCAGTGTCCTGTTTGTTTCAGATTTTCAGCATGCACAGTATTTTGTGTTTTCGTTATAATGTGTTTCATGCTATTGTCAAGCCTATCAAGTGATCCTGTCTGCTTCTATGTTTTTTCCAGTGCATCAAATTCTGGTCACAATCCAACAAAAACAGTAGCTGTCCTTTCTGCCCCACACCAAGGTAATACAACAAGCAGAACAGCAGGTGCTGGAGGATTCCTTGTAGTTCTGACATTGTTCATCAAACGTCGAGCCCTTTGACACTATCAAACGTCTGACAGCTGTGTGAACTTTTTATATTTGAAAAGAAGTGAGCCAGGCCTCAAAGTGGGCAAATGACAGACCACAAATGTATTGGATCACACTAAATTTGTCGCTGGTGTTCTAAGAATATTGAGACGATTATTTTGCAGGCTTGCACGTTTTCTGTTTTTAGAGAGAGTGTGTCTCTCTGTGAAGAATAAATGGACTATGGGGAAATATGTCTTGTTGTTTATGGTCACGTTATGAATGCAGCAAGCTTGTTGTTTACCAGCATGGAGTTCTGATTGGAAAGTTCAGTTCACAAGGTCTCCCTGGATATGTCTCTTGGAAGGACAGGGACTGAATTATGAGATAAAAGCAATGGATAAGCTTGAAAAAAACCATGTGCTGCTCTGAAACCTGTCTCTGTGGGGCTGGCTTCTTGACAGTTAATAGCTTAAAGAAATATGGTTTGGACTATGAAGATAAAAATGAGCACAAAGTTGGTAGTTAATTTATGGTTGATGTTCAATCTCCTTCCATCTCACTGTACAAATGTTGTAAACACTTCAAGGTTGAAGAAGAGTATGATTTTCCACTTCTCTTCTCAATTTCAAACACCAACTGAGGGAATCACAGGTGGCCTACGTTCTTCTGTGATCCTAAAGTTGTTTAGTCCTGATAGATGATTCAACTCTTGAGTGACCCATAGAGTATCTGATATCATCTTTGTTCAGCCCCCATTCCCAGCAGGATTCGAAATGCAGAGCCTAGGTGTGGCTGCCTTTATTTCTTTTCACAAATCTTCCCCCTATCCCCGACTCCTGCCTGGAAATTTATGTAACCAACTTCTGCCTTAGCTCCCTGCATGTGGCGATGAAATGTTCTGCTGTGTATAACTCTGCATCATAATGAGTGCCTCCTTTGGTAAATCATGAAATGTTACTCATTTGAAATGCTGTTTGTCAACTCACCTGTTAGAGTGAAGGAAGAACTTGCCTTTTGCAGCACCTGGCAAGATATGTGGGTTAAGCTTCAGATCTTTTTCAGAGTTTAACTTTCAACAAATAAGTACATTGACAAACCATGAATCCTGCTTTGTATGTCCCAAGAGCCAAAGGTAAATTGTATGCAGCTTTATAATTGTCTTTCATGTAATAAACTATTATTCTCTTTCATGTAACAACCGATGTATTCAACTTCATCCTTGCAGACCTGAAACCAGGATGGCAGCAGGTCAGCAAGGCACTTTATCCCCCACTGTCTTGGGGACAGAGAGTGCTGGCTTAGCCAAAGATACCCACATCCAATGAGCTCATTTTAAAAAAAGCACCGTTAGTGTCACAAACAATGGTTTCAGATATTGAAGCTGTACAGTTATCAGTCCCTTTTTCCCTGCATTTTTTTTTAACAGAAAAGATAATTGTAAGGACTTGGGTAGATAGTTGTTAATTAGCATTTTGCAAAGTTACAATGCTGTACTTTGGCTATGAGTGAACTGAATTGTACCAGCGCTTCCTATTAAGCAGTCAGCATTTAAACTTTTTCAACCTCTTGCAGTAGCCCCTCTTAATTTCTATTAATCGCACTGCATTTCTGTTTAAATCCCCAAATAAGATCTACGAATTGCTGAGATAAAAATAGAGGACTTCAATTGGCCCATGCCTCTAGCTCTTGAACTGTGTATTCTACTTAAGTGTCCTACCCCTCAACCCTTTAATTATTATAATAATTTAACTATAATACTTTAAATTATAACACTTTATAATACTTTAACTCACAAGGTACATTTGGTGTATTTATCTCTTTCTCTGCAGAATAAAACCTCAAAGAAATTGGGGATAAAGTAAGAACAGATTATTGAGATGGATGATCAGATATGATCGTACCAAATGCAGTGCGGGCTTGTAAGGCTGAATGGCCAACTCCTGCTCCTATTTTCTACATTTCTGTTTACTGCAGTGAGACGAGCAGAACATAGAAGAGTTACAGCACAGAAACAGGCCCTTCGGTCCACCATGTCTGTGCTGACCATGTTGCCATTCTGAACTAATCCTTTCTCGCTGCACATGGTCCCTATATTCTCTGCCTGGTTGTGTGTCTGTTAAAATGCCTCTTAAATGTTGCTATCGTATCTGCATCGTATTCCAGATTGAGAGTTTTCTGAATGAGATTGAGCCATCACCAACTACTGTTCTGGGCTATGCTGCCTGACAGTCCAACTAACCTCTCTCTTTTTAAAGTGCTTTTGACAGTCTGGTGTAAGGTAAAGACAGCTTGCTAAACATTGCATGTAAGAATGGCTTCTATATTCCAATTATAGAGGGTGTCACTGGCTAGTGTCAGTGTTTATTGCCCATCCCTAATTGCCCAGAGGGCAGTTAAGAGTCAACCACATTGCTGTGGGTCTCGGGTCACATGTAGGACAGACCAGGTGAGGATGGCAGTTTCCTTCCCTGAAGGACATTAGTGGACCAGATGGGCTTTTCCACCAATCGGCAATGGTTTCAGTGTCATCGTTAGATTCTTAATTCCGGATATTTATTGAATTCAAACACCATCGTCTACCATGGTGGGATTTGAACCCAGGTCCCCAGAATATTATCTGGGTCTCTGGATTAACAGTCCAGCGATAATACCACTTGGTCATTGCCTGATTAGTGATTACTGATTCATTCACCTTTCTAAAAGCAGTTTCCCACGTCATCTTTGTAGATTTTCCAGATCTGTTTCTTTCTTGTTGTGGGTAATTGACCCTTACGGAAGGAAACTGCCACTCTTACCTGTCCTACATGTGACTCCAGACCCACAGCAATGTGCTTGACTCTTAACTGCCCTCTGGGCAATTAGGGATGGGCAATAAATGCTGCCTAGCCAGCGACGCCCCTCATTCCGTGAATGAATAAGGAAAAGAAAATTATTCTTTTTGGACATGTCAAAACTCAAATCCTCAACTAGTTTTATTAAGGGATCTATAATTAACTCATTAAGCTGGAGAGGGTTCAAGAGATTTTACCAGGATGTTGACAGGTGTGGAAGGATTGAATTATAAAGATGGGCTAGATAGAGTCATAGAGATGTGCAACATGGAACCAGACCCTTCGGTCCAACTTGTCCTTGACGACCCGATATCCTAAATTAATCTAGTCCCATTTGCCAGCATTTGGCCCATATGCCTCTAAACGCTTCTGATTCATATACCGATTCAGATGCCTTTTAAATGTTGTAATTGTACCAGCCTCCACCACTTCCTCTGGTAGCTCGTTTCATATGCGCACCACCCTCTGCGTGGTCTTTCTCCTCTCACGTTAAACCTTTGCCCTCTAGTTTTGGATTTCCCCACCCTGGACACAAGATATTGGCTATTCACCCTACCCATGCCTCTCATGATTTTATAAATCTCTATAAGGTCACCCCTCAGCCTCTGACACTCCAGGGAATATAGCCCCAGCCTATTCAGCCTGTCCCTATATCTCAAGCTGTCCAACTCTGACAACATCCTTAAATGTTTTCTGAACCCTTTCAAGTTTCACAACATCCTTCATAAGGCAGGGAGACCAAAATTGAATGCAGTATTCCAAAAATGACCTAACCAATGTCCCATACAGCCATGACATGACCTCCCAACTCCTATACTCAATGCACTGACCAATAAAGGCAAGTGTACCAAATGCCTTCTTCACTACCCTATATATCTATAACTCCACTTTTGAGGAAAAATGAATCATAGTATCCCACAGTGTGGAAACAGGCCCTTTGGCCCAACAAGTCCACACCAACCCTCGGAGCATCCTACCCAGACCCATTCCCCTATAACCCACCTAATCTACACATCCCTGAACACTACAGGCAATTTAGCATGGCCAATCCACCTAGCCTGCACATCTTTGGACTGTGGGAGGAAACCGGAGCACCCAGAGGAAACCCATGCAGACACGGGGAGAATGTGAAAACTCCACACAGACAGTCGCCCGAGGGTGAAAGAATATGAACTTGCACCCCAAGGTCTCTTTGTTCAGCAACACTCCCCAGGACTTTACCATTAACTGTATAAGTCCTGCCCTGATTTGCCTTTCCAAAATGCAGAACCTCACATTTATCTAAACTAAAATCCATCTTCCACTCCTCAGCTCCATTAGCCCATCTGAACAAAGTCCTGTTGTACTCCAAGGTAACCTTCTTGGCTATCCACTGCATCTCCAATTTTAGTGTCATCTGCAAACTTACTAACCATACCTCCTATGCTCACATCTAAATCACTGATATAAATGATGAAAAGCAGTTGACCTAGCACCGAACCTTGTGGCACACCTCTGGTCACAGGTCTCCAGTCTGAAAAGCAACCCTCCACCACCACCCTCTCTCTCTTCTACCTTTGAACCAGTTCTCTATCCAAATGTCTAGTTCTCCCTGTATTCCAAGTGATCTAATCTTGCTAACTAGTCCACCTTCAGGAATGTTGTCAAATGCCTTACTGAAGTCCATTATAGATCACGTCCAATGCTCTGCCCTCAACAATCTTCTTTGTTACCTCTTCAAAAAACTCAATCAATTAGTGAGACAGGATTTCCCATGCACAAAGCCATGTTGACTATCCCTAATCAGTCCTTGCCTTCCCAAATACATGTAAATCCTGTCCTTCAGGATTCCCTCCAGCAACTTGCCCACCACCGATGTCAGACTCACTGGCCTACAGTTCCCTGGATTTTCCTTACCATCCATCTTAAATAATGGCACCACGTTAGCCAACATCCAGTCTTCTGGCACTTTGCCTGTGGCTATCGATGGTACAAATATCTCAGCAAAGGGCCCAGCAATCACTTCCCTAGCTACCCACAGGGTTCTAGGGTACGCCTGATCTGGGTTTTAAGACGTCTAGCACCTTCTCCCTGTAATATGGACATTTGTCAAGATGTGACTATTTATTTCCCCATTTTCAATATTTTCCATATCCTTTTCCACAGTAAACACTGATGCAAAATACTTGTTTGGTATCTTCCCCATCTCCTATGCTTCCACACACAGGCTGGTAGGTGTAGGGAATGCTGAACGATGAGAGAAATTGAAGTTTTGGTCAAGAAAAAGGAAGCATATGTCAGGTATAAACAGCAAAGATCGAGTGAATTCCTACAAGAGTATAAAGGCAGGAGAAAACTGAAGAAGGAAATCAAGAGGGCAAAAAGGGGACACGAGATAACTTTTGCAAATCATGTTAAGGAGAATCCGAAGGGATTCTACAAGTACATTAAGGACAAAACGGTAACTAGGGAGAGAATACAACAACCTCCTGCTGATCCCTATCCCCTTTGAAGATATTCTGCACCCTCTCCAGGAAGACAACACACCATTCCGATGTCTTGCTGTCAGCCGCAGAAGCATCTGACTGTGCCTCTGACTAGAGAGTCTCTTATCACAATCGATCGCTTGGAACCTGGTGTATCCCTTGTTACAGTAGAGCTAGTCTTGGTGCCAGAAACCTGGCTGCTAGTACTACATTCCCCTGAGAGTCCATCAACCCCACATTTTCCAAAACAGCATACCTGTTTGAAATGGGAATAGCCACAGGAGACTCCTGCACTACCTGCCTCCCTCTCCTACCTTTCCTGGAAGTAACCCATCTACCTGACTGTATCTTCGGTTTATCTCCCTTCCTGCAACTGCCAGCCTATAGGCTGGAACTTTTCTCACTGGAGTGTAAGAGGTTGAGAGGCAACCTAATAGAAGTTTCTAAAATAATGAGAAGCATAGATAGAGTTAATAGTAATTGTCTTTTCCCTAGGATGAGGGATTTCAAGGCTAGGGGGCACATTTTTAAGGTGAGAGGAGAGAGATTTAAAAAGGACATGAGAAGCAATTTTTTTACAGAGGTGGTTCGTGTGTGGAATGAACTTCCTGAGGAAATGGTGGATGAGGGTACAATTACAACGTTTAAAAGAAATTTGGATAGATACATGAATAGGAAAAGTTTGGGTGGATATGAACCAGGAGCAGGCAGGTGGGACTAGTTTAGTTTCGGATTATGTTTGGCATGGACTGGTTGGACCGAAGGGTTTGTTTCCTTGCTGTATGACTCTATAGCTTCTATTGGAGTCAATGGTGACCAGGGTGAGGGGGCGCAATCAGATCAGCCATGTTCTTTATTGGATGGTGGAGCAGGCTCGAGGGGCCGAATGCCAACTGTTCCTA